GTGCTGGTGGTGGTGTTGGTGTTGGTGTTGGTGTTGGTGTTGGTGTTGGTGTTGGTGTTGGTGTTGGTGTTGGTGTTGGTGTTGGTGTTGGTGTTGGTGTTGGTGTTGGCGTGGTGTGGTGTGGTGTGGTGTGTGTGCGTGCACGTGCGCGCGTGTGTGTGCGTGTGTTTATCAACAAGCACTTCAACACTTTAGAGTGTATACAACGTACAACATAAACAAGCCCGCAAACCCTTGACTCGAAACAGCCCTTTTTTCGAAAGCCCTCTCACCAAGAATCAACCAATCAAGAACATACATACCAATCCTATACAGTGATACCAATCCTAGTGTACACAAGGCCTTCTTGATACTCCGTAGCATTGGTGTGAGGAATCTCTATAACCCCGAATATCCGATGTCTGACTACGTCGAAAACTCCACCTCAACAGTGCTTTCTGAAATGAATTCATAACACGAATGTCATAATAGCAAGACGAATACTTAGGACATCCAACAATATGAACTTAACAGTAACACTGACTCAGACATATCTCCAGAAACCCCTGTAGACAACTATAACCCTGACGGACCCCGGAAGCCCGAGCCCTGGAAGCAAGACACCCAAAAGCTCGCTGAGCTCCGTGCGCGGCGCCTCTGCAACTGGGGTCTGGCCGTCGGGGCGAATGCCTGGCGGGTTGCGGTTTGGGTTTGGGGTTTGGGGTTTAGGAGCTTTTCTCGGTTCGAGGCTCGAGGGCTTGGGGGAAAAGAATAGGGCCACAAACTCGCAATGGGGTGATAGCCTGGTGGCAGATAGCTCTCCGCTCTCCCGATCGTGGCGTTGATGGCATTGAGGCTTGGAGTTTACGGATTTGGACGAAAGGATTTTTGGGTTTTTGCCTCTCGCTTGGCTAGGACTATATCAGCCCCCAATGCAGTGTGAAGAGGACCGTGCAAATCACGATCCAGGGTTTAGGATGTTGGCTTAGGGTTGAGTGCTCTGGTTTGGGGTAGGATTTAAGGCGATTTAAGGGTCATTCAGTGTTGAGGATGTAAGACACGGGGATCAAGACAGCTTAAAACTTTAAAGAGTTGAGGCTCTTTGGGATCACGTCCGGAACATTCACTGACAGTTAACAACTCCCTGTGGCAAGCAATTTGTCTCAAGGGTGAGGCTCCTGCGGCTGCGGTTCGAAGGTCGCGACCCTCAGTCCTTCTCGTAGCTCAGATCATGCTCATCAACCGTCTCAGCAATCCAAAGCTTCAGACGGTGTGGGGCCCGCATCTGTGCAATCCCAAACCACCCCTGTTTCCTGGCCTCCAGCATATTCCCCGCAGAGTCGCTTGAAAAGGCCTCGGAATTGTGCGACCTGTGCGGTGGGGGAGCTTCCGAGAACCTTGTCTCGGTGCTTCCGAACAGCCTCTCCCTTGAAGCTCTATACTGTCGGACTGCCAAGAACCAAAAACAGACTCATAACTAGGTTTAAGGCGGACCAGCTCCGAAACACATGTTTACGAATCCACCATCGGGCCATGCAGCAAACCCCAAGCCTCATAAACCCTAAACTATATGCCTAAACTTCAAACCCGCTGTTAACCCCCTCAGCCTAAAGTTGGAGATGATGTTCGTACGATTTGTCGCGATCGTCCTCCTCCTACGCGAAACCTGAACATGAACCCTCTGGCGAATGCAATCGCGTAAGCTAGAGGTCCAAGCCATGCAAGCAGAATCCCGGACAAGGGTTGGAGAATGGGGAAATGCGAATTGTTCTTCAGCTCTTTGGGTTCGGGCTTCTTTTTGACACCTTTTTCCAACTGGGAGAGCCCACATAGGGCAGGTTGCCGGGCCCATTCGACCCCTACTTACCCTGCAAATCGATCGCTCTTATGAGCACACTCATCAGTCCCGCCGTCAGCAATCTCATCGGTCCCTTCTTCATGTGCGACCCCATTCGGCTCAGGCCTCGGATCTGGCTTCATCCCCGTGACACTACTCTCCTGTTTGGTATCACCATCATCGAGCCCCATTCGCATAGCTGCGACCTCGTCAGTCATCCCTCGAGCTTGGAAGCTCCTCGTATCTCCAACTTGTCCATTCATAGCCTTGTGCTTGATCTTCACAATCTCGAAGAACTGTTGCCCCCACTTGGCGATCACCTCACGCTCCACTTTGCCACGTACACCATGTCGCATCCAGCTGGTCCATTGGCATGGTTGTCTCGTCAGTGCTTCCGTCTTCCGCCGGATCTTCACCTGGCAGGTCACCTGCCAAGTCCATCATCACGGAAGGACACGATGTCGGCCCGCTGTCCAGTCCCATATCCTTCTTCACCGAGCTGATTTCATGCACCTTGACGGTCTCAACGTCCTCCAGGATGGCCTCCTCCTCTTGTGCAGTCGTCAACCGTACTTCTACCGGAAACTCACCAGGCTGGGCCAACGGGATCCGCCGAGACCCACAGAACCTTTGCTGCCCTTCGATACCGCCACTATCGATCTGCACAAACAAGCGTTTTCGCATCCTCGGAGGCCCCGAATGCCATCCACCATGCATCTCAGCATACAGTGCCCACTCCTCTCACTCATGAGCACGTGCCGCCTGGTGCTGGTCCCACAGCAGTTGCGCACTGTCCAAGGAGCCGGTGATCTCCTGCTCTCTCTGCGTTTCTTGATCATCACGTGCACGAGCATCCCTGGCATCGGCCGCCTTTTCTCGGACCTTGTCTTCCAGCAGCTGCTCCAGGCCGCCCCGTTCGGGGCTGTTGAATGGCCAGACCCAAACCTCTTCGTCGACGATGTCTGCATGAGCCCCAGGTCGTCTCCTTCCTCTTCTCCATCTCAGCTCCGCCTGACTACCGTAGGCCCCTCTGCTTGAGTCTCGTCATCCTCGAGCTCAATCCCAACCATGCCCGCTTCATGGCTGAGCTCCCAATTTCCGCCACCACACTCCACAAGACTGCGATGAAGCTCACCGGCATTAAAAGCTGTTGGTGGCTGGTGTATTCACGCAAAAACCCGCAAAAGGTCGAACATGTAGCGCCGGCCGTCGTCAGGAATCATTGGTGCGCCTTCAGCCGCGGTTGATATACAGGTCACCCAGCCCAGTCCGATCGAGACCAAGCATGTAGCGCCACAGGTCGACCGCTTCATCATGGTCCCGAGACCCCCTCAAGCGGTCACGGCGTGGTCACGAACTCGACGTGCCCCTTTCGTTTTCGGCCTCACACTTGTCCCGTGAAACATGCACATTCCACCGCACACTGCTTCCATATCCACGAACGACCAGCGCAAGGAGCTTGAGTCAGCTGCCGTCCTCAGCATGCCAATTTTTGACAATCAAAGCCGTCTTCTACATAAAGCACGAAGGAGTCCCAGTTAGGCCACCAGGACATGGAGTTGTTGGGGCCAGTTGGGGCGGCTCGTAGAACTGTGGATAAACTCGTCAAGGCGTAAGTCACTTCCTAGCCAGTTCTGACGGTTGGAGTTTGCAACATGCAGCTCGGAAAAAGATGGCGGTCAACAAAGCGTTGGGCCAGGCGAACTTCTGCAATCCACTGGAGACCATCCACAACGCAGGAGTCCGCAGGAGGTTTCGAAGCCTTCAGCTTGATCGGAAGAGACGCTGTGGTCGTCGGCCGCGCCATCCGCTCAGGAGCCGACCTCAGCTACCACCGCGTCAAAGACACACACACACACAGACAGACAGACAGAGCCTTTGGTCTGCTCGACACCGCTTCGCCGAGTGCCCTGAGTTGGCTCTGTTGCGGGACCAACTTAGCGCGCGTTTCCATATTCCTGCCCCTTGGTGGCAGGCGCAGCCTCGGGTTCTTAGTTCGTCCGGGTGGGTCACGTCTGATGCCGGCGACTCTCATAACGTACGCGTGCAACGGCAAATAGCTGCCGTACGCTTGGGATCGCAGTTGCCAAACTTGGCCGGCTAGTTGCCGAAGAC